TCTCGGCAACGCACGAGGTGACTTTTGACGCGACACCTCTGGATACTTCGAGCGTGCCGGTTGAGCAAGTGGGACGCCTGCGATGCACCGAAACAACCTGCGCGGGGACTGCTGTATAATTCTGGATATGGGAGACGGAGAAGTTGGGCCTGAAAGGGCTGGGGCTCCTGAAAGACGAAAGGACGACACGACGTGTGCAATTCTCAACAGAGTTGCAAATGAGGCAAGCTTTGTGAATCTGAGTCCGTGACAGAGCGTAAAACTCGGCCAAGGCTTGTGTTTATGGACCTGGCTTCTACCCTGCTCCAATCCGGTCTGTGGGTTGTTCTTGTCGAGATTCTCCATTTCAATGAAACGGTAGAGCACGTCCTGTACTGCCCTATGGAGTCTCAGCGGAGGAACCCGCCCAATGTGATGAACACACAAGGGGGAGTGTGTGGGGGCCGCCCTTCACTGAACTACTGGCCTACACTGAAAACCCGTTGTAGTGAACGAAAGCACAAGTCTGTCTAGCAAGACGGGTGCCCTTGTAGGGACAGTGCTGCGTGCAACAGCGACTGGATAAGCGTCGTATCGCAGCTGTGTCAGAGCTGCGCGATACAGGTGAGTGGACCGCGGGTGGTGTCATTCCTCGGCAGCCATGCTCTTGTAGCTGAAACATTGAACTGTCGGCACCATTTAAGATACAGGTTGGTGCATTTGACGGTCAGGTGAGGGCGACCGTCTGAGAGTTGCCTCGCGAGGTGGCCGTAGCGGTTTTGCAATAAAAGTCACAGAGACCCACGGCAAATACAGTCACTGTCCTGACCAAGAACGAGTGTCGTACGAATCAGGGGGGTCGAACCTGCAGCTCACTTCTACAGTAGAGTCCAAGAAATGAAATCGGCTGTTCTCCCAGCGCAACTCACGCCATCCGACCGACCTCACGTCGCTAGGATTTGAGTCACAATAGAATTTGCGTTCGACCGCCTCCAGACCCATGAAGTTGTTTGGTGCTCTCCTCGTCACGTCCGCTGCCGCCACCAAGCAGTCCGTGAGCACGCTCTCGGCTGACGCGCAATCCGAGCTGCGCGCCGAGTTGAGCAAGTGGCGGGAAGAGTTTGGATCTGCTGCTGCGGTGCAGGGCTTGTTGCCCCACGCCACCGAAAGCTCGAACCCGATTCAGGCGGAAAACGACGCGCTCCAGCGGTTCTACGACAACAAGCTCGCGATCGAAGAGGCCCGTCGCAACAACCCCGAAGCCACGTTCGACTACAACCACCCGTTTGCTCTCATGACACAGGCCGAGTTCAAGAAGTTTGTGGAGGGTGTGTCGCTGGAGGAAAGCCGCAGTGCGTTCCGCTCGGTCCCCGAAGCCGATTTGAACGTGAGTAGCGTCGCGGCGGCGTCGGTGGACTGGACCACAGGCAAGTGCGTCAACCCCGTGCGCAACCAAGGCCAGTGCGGATCGTGCTGGGCCTTCTCGGCCGTGGGTGCCGCGGAACCGGCGCACTGCATCGTGACGGGAGAGCTCCTGGACCTGTCCGAGCAGCAAGTGACGAGCTGCTCCACCGCGAGTGGCAGCGCGGGGTGCAACGGCGGGTGGCCGTACGCCGCCATGACGTACGTGTCGACGACTGGACTCTGTTTGGAGAAGGACTACCCGTACACGTCTGGCAGCACGAGCCAAACCGGCACGTGCAACAGCAACTCGTGCACGACGAAGAAGCTCAGCATCGGCGCGACTGTCCGCGTGAAGGGCGAGGCGGCGCTGGACGCGGCACTCAACACGCAGCCTCCGTCAGTGTTGGTCGAAGCGGGTAACTCCGTGTGGCAAAACTACCGCTCGGGTGTGATCACGCAATGCCCCGGGTCGTACTCGGATCACGCCGTCGTCGCCGTGGGATACGACGATACGTCGTACAAGATCCGCAACTCGTGGGGCACCAATTGGGGCGAAGCCGGCCACATCCGCCTCAAGCGCGGCGTGAGCGGCAAAGGCATGTGCAACGTTGCCGAGGACGTCGTGTTCCCCAAGATCGAAGGCAACACGCCTACGACGAAGCCAACCCCAACGACCAAGCCCACTCCTACGACCAAGCCCACTCCTACGACCAAGCCCACTCCTACGACCAAGCCCACCCCTACCACTGCTCAACCCGACCAGTGCGCAGACTGCACTGGGTGCTACTACCCCGCCGCGTCCACGTGTTTGCCAGCCGACTACACCAAGGAAGCCTGTGACGACTACAGTGCTGAGTATGGCACGTTTTGGTGTGGTGACGAGCCTACACCTACCACCAAGCCGACTCCTACCACCAAG